GTTCTTTGTGGAGAATGGAACCTTCATGAAGTGGTTGTCAGATAACAAACCTAATTTGCAGGGTTTTATATATATATATGTGTGTGTGTGTGTGTGTGTGTGTATATATTTTTCACTGTCAGGTGAATCAGGACTTGATTTTCTGCTTGCAGTTATTTGAATAAACATTTGAAAAAAAGGGTTTTAGTATACAAAAAAAAAAACACTGTTACATCAGAGTTTTAAAACAATTACATTCTGCAGCCCTGGCTTTGTTTCCTGTCCTCTTTGGATTAGAAAGACTATGTATGACTAATTCATCTAGCTGATTTTTTTTCAAAGTTGCCAATAGGCTTTTAGACCTGCTTCTCAGCAAAGCGTAATGAAAGAAGGCTCAGGTGAACTGCCTTCCTCCTGCTATCAAAGTGCTTTCTAAATTGCAACAAAAATAATTCCAACATTGCTGAGACAAACAGTATTCTCCAAAGTATTCACTGCCATCTTGTTTAGCTTTCCTGATTTCTACCAAAAGTGAGTAATTCATGAGGCAGTTGTAAGGATAAATAAGTTTGCTTTCTTACTTATCTTACATTATTCTTTTTTATGTTTTCATCATTCTGATTTTTGAAGTCTTTCAAAAATGTATGAAGAGCCAGCTTCCTGCCAGGAATATAAGGTTGAGACCGTTCGTTCCAGTCGGCTTGTATCCAAGTTAGGATGTTGCAGCTCGGATGGGTGGACAACCACATGGGTCAAAAGCTGCTTGGATGATCAGGCTTTAATGGGGGAACAGGTCAATACGGGCAACTCAGAGGCCCTACAGGGGCTGCCAGAAATTTGGCAGGCATGAGAGCAAAGCCTGCAGTTTATAAGGGGCAGCCCCAATCTGCATATCCGTGTTATTTTAGTGCAGTCTTTGTTAAGGCTTGATTCAGTCTTTTTAATGTAACTTCAGTTTCTTTCAAGGTGTCCTCAAGTAATAGAGTTGTTCAGTCATTAACTGATTGCATTCAGTGCCTCTTACAACCACCTACCACCTATTAGACTTACACACATTATGTCTGCTTGGCAGCAAATCTGTAAGAAGGAACGTGCCCTAACAGGATGTTATTCACATATCCTTTGCATCACAGTTTACCCAAAAGATTAATTTTGAAGAGAAATTATATACAAGCAGAGTGTGAGAATAGCACCGCAAGAAATATTGCCCACTGTCTTGAGTGCTGCTTTAGGGATTTGAGAGGAGGAAGTTTCTTTTTAAGATGAGCTTGAACATGCCAACTTTATGGATTCTAGCACATGAAAACTATAAAGTAACATATAATTAGTTAAAAGAAAGCAAACTAGCTGGCTAAAGACACCAGGAAGTTACCTTGGATGGCTTGAATTATAGAATTGTCACTCAAGATTTGTGTCTTGGATAGAACTGTTAGTGTCTCAGGAAGAAGTTTTACCTGCAGGAAGTGTCAGTGAATATGGTGGCACCAGGACGTGGTGCCCTTTACACCTGAAGTGTGGGGCTGTAAGCTACTGTTGGCTGTACCTTTGAAGTTTGAATTCTTGTTATAAGAATTTTAATTCAAACATGAAGACATGACTGTTTTTTTTTAAAGAGAGTTCATTTATAAATACAAATATTTTATGAAGCCATTTAAGAAATAATCTGTCCTGAAGTCCTGACTGTAGTAAATGAATCCTGTTGTCAGAGCACAGCATCTGGTTAGCACATGCTCTGAGTGCCAAAGCATTTTCAGAAATGCAAACCACAAGATGGAAACCTAGATGTTGTACAAAGTGCTAACACTGGCCTCCTCGCGTTCTCCCAATTTCCCAGCGTGTTGCTGCTTGGCGCAACTACGTGGCAAGTGGTTCCTGGGCAGAAGGCTGCAGGAGTCAGAGGAGATGCCCTGGCTGCACCTTGGAGCGTAGTTGTTTTGTGTGCCTTATGTCTGTTCTCTTGAACATCCTTCTGGTTTAGAACTGAAGCTAGCTGCTGTGTGGGTTATCATGGCAGTTCCTGCAGATTTCTACGTCTGGCTGTGAGTTAGCATGTTCTTTGTGGACCCTTCATTTTGGGGCACAGAAGTGTAATTGCAAAATGCAAGCATTTGCTGTTCAGTGTTTTATTAAAGCTTACATAAAAACCATACTTAGTTCAATTTATTCATCCATGATGACCTGGATGAAGGCACAGAGTGCTCCCTCAGCAAGTTTGCTGATGATGCCAAACTGGGAGGAGTAGCTGATACCCCAGAGGGCTGCGCTGCCATCCAGAGGGACCTGGATCCAGACTGGACAACTGGGCGGTGGAAAACCTCATGCAATTCAACAAGGCCAAGTGCAAGGTCCTGCACCTGGGGAGGAATAACCCCAGACACCAGTACAGGCTGGGGACCGAGCTTGTGGAGAGCAGCTCTGCGGAGAAAGACCTGGGTGTC